TCAGCTGATAAAGAGAGTTCAACAGACAAAGGAATTGTAGTTCTCTGAATTATTTACTTATATTGTGATACATAGGTTATCATGGAACAGAAGGACACCGATCTGCAATATGTAAGTAACAGTTCCCTTAACGAACTTTCATTGGTGTACCATCTGCAACTCTGCCTTGAGCTATGATTAAATTAATCAAATGTTTCCAATCAGTGACGCAATACGTAAGTATGATATACACCTGTTGATGACGTGACAACAGTGTTTCTGCCATGTATAAATGTTACAGATGGCTCTCTCAGCATCATTGAAGTCTCGAGGAGTCTCACAGTCCGGATCATCACGCCGTTACGACTACCTAACTACCATGAACGTCCCTCTCATTCTGGCCGCTGTTCTGGCTGTCTCCCATGCTCGAGACTGTGGACACACAACGGAAACCCCAACGTCCAACCCCACTGAAGCCCCGACTACACTACAAATACCTACAACATGGCCTGAAGGATCCTTTGCTCTGCCTCAGACCAACGATGGTTGTCCTGGTAGTGAGTGGAAGGATGGAGCTTTCTATCAAGACACTGAAGATTATTACAACGGAAATACCTGGAACACCACCAATATGAGCGGCATTAAGAAGAAAGACGGTTATTTAAATACTTACTGCATCATGGAGGGCACCACTGCCAGATCTGGGAGTTGGCCGGCCGGTACCTACTGCATCTTGAGGAAGAACGGCGTCTGCCCAGGAAGTTTCCAGGAAGGTTCCCTTCTTTGGGATGATGAGAACAACTACAACATGAACCATGTCTCAGACCAGAGCATCCTCCCCGATGGTGAGTTCAACAAAGACACCAAGCTGTTTTATTGTTGCCGAGAGGATGCTTCTCCAGCTCAAGAGATAGCCTTGCCAACATCTGCCCCCTTCTACCTCCTGATGAAGACAGGCGTGTGTCAGAGCGTCGCTGGGATGTCGGTGACAGTGGAGACGATGTTTTGGGATGATGAAGACACCAACAACCACAATGCCAGAGAAGGATCCACTCCCTTTCAAACTGGAAGTCCTGCCAACATTCATCTCAACTACTGCTACTACTCTCCTACAACACTGTAAATTGTTCAAGAATATAATCAAAAGGCTTCAGAGAGGTGTATTCTGCACTGTAATAAATGATATATTTTTCAAGAACTGTGTTGTTACATTTATGCGCTTTCTAGGTACACATACTCCTATTTTATTCAAGGAAATCAAACAGATAAAGTTGCCTTTGCACCTTTCTTCGATCCAAATGCTTTACTTGTCTCCGAATAGTCCATATGTCCATATGGGTGGGGGCTTGTGAGGGGATGTTCTTTTGTTTCATTTTCGAATTAGCTCCAACGTTCAATTTCAGAGATTGGACTAAACATGAATGCCTATTTATGACAAGGGATTTACCAATACACAATATCTGAGACTGAGGTGGATGAAAATATTTGATGGTTTGTGTCAGATGTCTGTGTCTTGTCAATGGGTATCACTGGCGGCAGCCTCCTGACATCGACAAATATATCAGCTCCGGCTCTGAGTAATTTCCCCGTCTGATTAGTAAATCCCTTATTCCCAAGGCTCAATGTGAAATCAATCGAAATGTAGAACAAACCAAATTGCCATCATTTAAGATTACTACATTTGAATAATTATATTAAAGATATAGACCAATAGGTCAAGAGCAAAAGAAATCACTTTGATAGACATTGTTCCATGTCTTTGGAAAGAATATCCTACCATGATTTGTATATCATGGTCGATTACAGAAATACAGAATTTGACAACAATTAATACACTGCAAATCGCATTATGAAATACTATTTCTAATAATTATTCAAAGAAAATATTTCTGTATTTGCATTAATCAACAATTGAAAGTCCTTTGGAAGTGTCAGATGCTTGGCACAAGAGACAGATCATCTGTAAAGGAAGACAGAAACATTTTCTCAATATACTGTTTTCATTAAAGAAACGCCTGTAATAAACCATATTATCCATGTCGACGGGATATAAGTAAGGTCTTGTTTTAGTGTCAACGCCTAGGCCAGTATCCCTTTTACTGTTTGAGAAAAGCTGGGAGCAAGAGATGTTCTGTACTTATAAAATTAACGGGTTAACACCGTTTTGAGCGGTATTCAAGTTATATCACGGCGTGTTAGCTTAATGTTGGAGGAAAGCCCGAAGCGATGCAGGTTTCATCACAATTTTCAATTTTATGTCCAATGGTATCTGTTTCGGCAAATAATCGAGATTTTCTTCTGGGGTTGACATTTTATATTCAGTGTAGTATTATCGAAAGATGTCTATCTACAAATGATCTGTTTTATAAGAAGAGATATGTTGGAAACACTGTAAAGGAGGATAACAATACCAGAACTACTCTATGAACAAGCAAAACAAGCCAAGACGTTACATAGGAACTTCAATTTACATAGAGAACAACATGTCAGTTTAAATGCTTGTCAAATTTTCTATTCTTGAAATAGAAATTAAAATCGGAAATACCTTTCCCTGTAGTTACCTTGAATATTACCAAAACAATTCTACTTCAACAAGATAACTCATATACATCTTCAAAACATTTCAAAACAAGTTGACAACTTGGATATAACACTAACTTTAACGAAAAACATGGTCCTGTGCTTGCTTACATTGCATTTAATGTGTATTATGCTATTTTGTTGTAGCTGGGGACATATACAACATGTGTGATTCATACAACACAGTGTTTAGAATCTCACTACTTTTGTCACAAGTGGAATTAAACTTTGTCACAAACGACATCAACTACCAGATGAAGAACATTTTCATACATGACCGTCTCAACTGACTTGCAAACCGAAGTCAAATGGTGTAGAGGTTTTATCCAAGAAAAATATCGGGCAGAAGCCAGTGATTGATATGTGCAACATCCACGCAGTCGGGGATCGAAGCCTCTTTCTGTGCCAAGCATTAAGTTGTTGGATGGGGCCTTGTTCTAACTTGTAATCACCGAGGGGTATATGCACGTATGTAATAACTTGAAGTCTTTCTTTCTTAAATGATGATTTCTTTATTCTTTCCTGTTTTGCATTCTTTCTTTTCCTCACATTCTTTTCTTTCCTTTTAGATAAATGTCTTTCTTTTCTTAACTAGAATCTAATTATTTTCAGATTGACTGAAATACAAATAAATAAACAATAATTACTATTTTGATCAAATGATGCATTAATGCATATAATCATAATGACATTATAAATGAATTAACCTAATAAAATTGACTACCTTTCAGTGACATGAAATACTATGCAAAATGTAAACAAACGATGAAAAACACTTCATGACTAAATAACTGCTCTAAAACATTTATACACATGTAGATAATGATAAAATAATATATATGACAAAATTTGGCAAACTCACCATTGTTTTTAGACTCTTTTATCCTGAAAACCTTTTCTCATTTCTTTCATTCTCTCATGCATGCTGCATGCTTTTTAGGGCCACATGGAAGATAATACACGATACTAAGCAGTTATGCCCCTTGGCATATTATGATGAGTAAACATAAATTTGAATGGAAAAGAAATTAAATATGAATTAATACTTGCCAAAAACGAAATATGATTTATATTTGAATACTTTGATAACAAACAAAGGAAATATGATTCTGAACTTTGAAAATAATAACTTAACAATTTTGACACTTACACACCGGCCTCCTAATTGTAGAATGAAATGAAACAATTATCTTAACTAAGAAACAATTACCCACAAACACTCCTAAATAAACACTTAATTGTCAATATTCATGTGTTTACACTTTTACTTAGCACATCCTTTTGAAATTTCTGTTATGTTTGTATACAGCTCTACTAATTGTCTTCCATAACGAGACACAGTTTGTCAACAGGTCGCACAAATTCTGAAGAAGCAGTCTTCACTTTTACAGTTCGCACAAGGTTTTTCCAGTCGTGATAGAGTTCCGTTACTCTTGCAAGAGCCCACGCATTACGTGGTGTATTGTCCATAATTAGCACAATGTCTCCAATCTGAAGGTTTCTTTTGATCTGATTCCATTTTTGTTTTTGCTGCAGGAGAGGTAAATATTCTTGCTTCCATTTTTTCCAGAAAATGTCTGCAAGGTATTGTACTTGCTTCCATCGTCGACTATAGATGTCCTCTTTCTTGAATCTTCCGGGAGGCATCTTTTCACCAGAACGTAGGTATAACAGATGGTTAGGAGTGAGCACAGATAGATCATGCACATCATATGACAGACCAGTGATGGGACGTCCATTGATGATAGATTCCACTTCGCAAAACAAAGTGTTCAACGCCTCATCATCCAGCTTAATGTTCTGCTCTTGTAGTAGACAATGAAGCACTTTCCGTACAGTCCTAATCATCCGCTCCCAGAATCCACAATAATGGGAGGCTGCAGGTGGATTGAAGCTCCATTCAATCCCTTTGTCAACGAAGGCAGAGTGAATCTTTGATTCTTTTAAGTCCTTTAATGCTTCACTTAACTCTCGCTGACATCCGACAAGGTTAGTACCATTGTCAGATTTGATGAACTTGGGTGGTCCACGTCGTGCGACAAATCTTCTGATAGCATGGATACAGGAGTCTGTGTCTAGGGTGGCAGCCACTTCCAGATGGATAGCACGAAGATTCATGCAAGTGAATACAACACCATATCTTTTTACTGAGGTACGTCCACGTATCACTTTGAAAGGACCAAAAGAAGTCCATACCTACATTGGTGAAAGGTGGTAGGTCCGGAGTTATCCGTTCATCTGGGAGATCAGACATCTTTTGTTGTCCTGAAGAGGAGTGATATTTACGACATGTGACACACTTTGAAACTATTGACTTCACCAGTGACCCTGCTCCAATCACCCAGTACCATTGTCTGAGATGTGACAAGATGGAGTTCTTTCCTAGATGTCCAACAATCTTATGAGTCTCTTCAATGATCAAGCGTGTTACACGAGATTTCTTAGGAAGAATGATTGGGTGCTTTTTCGCTGAAGGAGATATTTGCATTCTTGAGGCGTCCTCCAACATGAATGACGTCATCTTGAAGAAATGGATCCAACTTGTAGACAGGGCTTGATTTATCAACTGTTGCAGAAGATTGCTTGAGACATCGTTGTTCTTTCGAGAAATGTTGTGTCTGACAGTGTTGGACTAGGAGCTTTTCTGCATCTTCAAGGACTTGAACATTCAAGGTGTAGTTCACTTTATTGGTGGATTGAGACTTGTTGACTCTCTGGCGCAAACATCTGATAGTTAAAATGATCCATGCTACTGCTCTTCTTAACTTTGTCCAACTTGAGAAGTGGTTGATTAGAATGTCTAGGAAGCTATCCTTCTCCATGATGGTTGCATGAACACATTCCTTAAGTTCAAGATCATCTTCTTGAGGTTCTTGGTTGATGTATTGCTTCGGCCAGTACTTGTGGTGCTGCCATAGGAATCTTGGTCCTCCCGTCCAATGCTGAATATGCTGCTCATTATCAAGCTTGATGCCTCTTGAAGCATAGTCTGCTGGGTTCTCTTTAGATGACACATACCTCCATTGATCAATATCAGAACAGTCCCTTTTCACAGCAATCCGGTTGGCTACAAAGGTTTTGAACCTGGCATTGGTGTTAAAGATACATCTCAACACTGACATGCTGTCCGTCCAGAAGAAAGTTGTGTCTACTTTGACCTGAAGTTCTTGAAGAATGAGGGATGACATGCGTACAGCTAGAGTAGCAGCAGTGAGTTCCATGCGTGGTATGGTTGTCTTTTTTAATGGAGCAACCCTTGATTTAGACATTACCAGAGCACAATGGATCTCCTCATCTTCATTCACAAATCTGATGTAACCGACGACTCCATATCCTACATTGCTCGCGTCTGCAAAAAGGTGAAGTTGACATGATGTTACAAGTCCAAACTCCATAGGCTTGTAGCATCTTGGAATGTGGATATCTTCTAACAAGGTAAGATCTTTCAGCCATTGATGCCATATCTTCTGTGTCTTTGAATCAACATCTTCATCCCAGTCTTTCTGTTCTTTATGCAGGTTTTGGAGCAGCTGTTTTGAAATGAGTATGAAAGGAGCCATGAGTCCAAGAGGGTCATACACATTGCTAACAACAGACAGGATGCCACGTTTAGTGTCTGGTTTCAACTTGCTCTTTATCTTGAATCCAAGAGTGTCTGATTGCACAAACAAGTAGACTCCTAAAGCTCTTTCAGATGGAAGGTCTTCACGGTCCAAGTTCAAGTCTTTAACATCCTTTGCTCTTTCTTGAGGTGGGATTGATTTCATCACTGTAGAGCTGTTGGAGATCCACTTGGTAAGCCTGAAGCTGCCTTCACTGCACAAACTGGTAAGTTCTTTTACAGTTGATACTGCCTTTTCTTCCTTCAATTCGGATGCCAGACAATCATCTACATAGAAGTTGTCAGTCAACTTTTCTATAATTTCTGGGACAAACTTATCCTGACTGTCTCTTGCTGTTTGTTGTAAGGCAAAGGATGCACATGAAGCAGAAGATACAGCTCCAAAGATATGGACTAACATAGGTTCTTTTCTACAATCTCCATCCGGCCACCAGTAGAAGCGAAGGAAGTCATTGTCTTCTTTTGGCACTCTGACTCGATAGTACATGGATTCGATATCACCCATGAAGGCAATGTTCTCCTGTCTATATCTCATTAGAACACTGAGGAGGCTGTTGCATAGATTGGGTCCTTGAAGCAAACTACTATTTAGGGAAACACCTTGGAATGTTGCTGAACAGTCAAAGACAACTCTTATTTTCCCTTGCTTGCGTGGATGGTACACCCCGTGGTGTGGGATAAACCATACTTTGCCTGGTTTACCTTTCAGTTCATCTTGAGGAACAATTTCAGCATATTCTTTGCTAAGGATGTCTTCCATGAACTTCTTATAGTCTTTATGTATTTGAGGGTTCATTGTAAATTTCTTCTTGAGTCCTCTCAAACGCTGTAAGGCTTGTTCACTGTTGTCAGGCATGATGACATCCTTGTCTCGAAAGGGCAGATTGCCAACATAGTGTCCATCTTCTTTATGAATAGAGTTTGTCACAATCTTCATAAATTCTTTGTCCTCTTGTGACATTTCTTTTCTTTCTTCTGCTGCTTTCTCTGGAAAGTCATAGTTCATGCTGTCTTACATCATAGTATTAATGTTCTGTAGATCTTCCATTGCTTTTATTGTTATGTCTGTTCTCATTGATGGAAATCTGTTTTCTTTTGCAAGTCTGGGGACATTCCAAAGTATCCATCCAAGCTTGGTTCTTGTTGCATGAGGACTTCCATCAGGACCGGTACGAATCTCTAGTGGTGCATAGGAATCTGGTACATTTCCCCCGATGAGGATATCTACACTTGCATCAATCTCAGGCAGATATATATCATTAAGGTGAGGCCATTTTTGAACGTCTGATGAAACAGGTATGTGTTTCTTCAAAACTGGTATGTGTTCTTTGGAGTAAACAGTAGGTAGTGCGATCGTGTTCCTGAGGTCAAGGTCGTGCACTTGTAAGCCATTCACTGCTTGCACTGAAGTAGTGTAGGGCTTCCCCGTTGACTGGGTGTTCTGAGTTGTATTTTCTACTATGTCTGTGCTGAAGGAAGGCTTGAATGATGATTGTGAAGCAATTCCTGCGTTCCTCTTTGGCTGTGTCTTTGTTCTGTCATCATTCCTCAGAGCATCTTTTCCATCCATTGGATCTGTTGCTTTTCTTGCTTCTCTCTTCACAAACTTAACTAGGTTATGGAATGCTACAGTTCCTCCTGAATCCCTGATAGATATGACAATATTCCTCCACTTCTCATGGCAATGGAAAGGTAGTTTCATAACGAGCCTTCTGATGTTGTCAGGATATTCCAGGATCTTTACTGCTGTGATGGAGCTTACTGCATTCTCACATTCTTGTAGGAAGATGGCATATTCATCCATGGATTTAGGGTTGTCTACTTTTACATTAGGCCATCCCAATGCTTTCTTGACGAGAGCAGATGCAATAGCGTCTTCATTGCCATATCGTTCATCAAGTTCCTGTCATGCCTTTTGATACCCTTGACTGGCCTCCAGGTAACTATATCCCTTGACAATTTTCAGCGCTTCACCTAATGTGAACTGTTCTAGATATGACATCTTCTCATCTTCTGTTTCTGAGTTGACAACAATCTTCACCTTGAACTGACGCTTGAATCTTTGATATTCAATAGGATCCCCAGAGAACTTCATGATTTCAGGAGGCGGCTTTCGGAGCTGTTGCACAACACACTGAATAAGATTCTCACCGCTTGCTGCAGTAGTTTGTGGAGACAAGTGTTGATTGAAGTCTTCTTGAAGAGGTAAGTTTATGTTATCAGGTAAGTACCGTTTACGTTCAGTGTTGAAATTTTCATTTACATCTTCATTCACAGGAACAGGGACATATGGATCGTGCGGTTCTAGTGAACGTTCTGATTTCACACTACCTCTGACAGAGAAATAATCTTGAAGCACTTTAGACTTTGCTTGAGAAATCTCCATTTCTGTTTTCAGTTCTAACTCTTCTTCTTCATTTTCAATTCCATCTTAGCTAAGTCTATTTTCTGTTTCTCTTTCAATGCTTTCATCTTTGTCTCTAATTCAACTTGCTTTTGTTTTTCTTTCAGATGGGCTGATGAAACACGACTTGTTAGTGATGAATGACTTCCTTTAGAGGAGGCTGATTCTTCTTTAAATATACAAGCACTTTTCAGGCTGACTGAACCTTGTCTACTTATCTTTCTTATCAGTTTGTTTAACTTCTGGTTTCTGTTCATCTTCACTTTTGTCATTCAGTGAATCTTTAACATTCTTTTTCTCCGTTTCACTTGGTTCACGGATGTGTTTGAGAAAGAATTCTTCTAACTTTGATTTACATGTCAGCAGAACAGAGTCTTGTGATTCACATTCTTCAATAAAAGGACTAAGTTCAATTTCATCCAACAGTGATGCAAAGTCTTTGCAGAGATCTAACAGTGTTTCGTAGAATTTCAACCAGCTTCCATGACTACATCTAATCTCCTCTATCTCTTCAGAAGTGAAAGTTTCAACATGAGATTGGGCATAAAGTTTATCAAAATCATCCAACAATTGTTTATATAAACTCTTAATTTTCTTATATTTAGTTTGCTTAGCATACTGCAAACCCTTTTCTGTCATCTTCCTTAGTCTTTGTTTCAAAACATTATCCTTTTCTTTTTCTTCCATACCTTTGTCTAAACAATGTCAATGCTGTAATAACTTGAAGTCTTTCTTTCTCAAATGATGATTTCTTTATTCTTTCCTGTTTTGCATTCTTTCTTTTCTTTACATTCTTTTCTTTTCCTTTTAGATAAATGTCTTTCTTTTCTTAACTAGAATCTAATTATTTTCAGATTGACTGAAATACAAATAAATAAACAATAATTACTATTTTGATCAAATGATGCATTAATGCAAATAATCATAATGGCATTATAAATGAATTAACCTAATAAAATTGACTACCTTTCAGTGACATGAAATACTATGCAAAATGTAAACAAACGATGAAAAACACTTCATGACTAAATAACTGCTCTAAAACATTTATACACATGTAGATAATGATAAAATAATATATATGACAAAATTTGGCAAACTCACCATTGTTTTTAGACTCTTTTATCCTGAAAACCTTTTCTCATTTCTTTCATTCTCTCATGCATGCTGCATGCTTTTAGGGCCACATGGAAGATATTACACGATACTAAGCAGTTATGCCCCTTGGCATATTATGATGAGTAAACATAAATTTGAATGGAAAAGAAATATAATATGAATTAATACTTTCCAAAAACGAAATATGATTTATATTTGAATACTTTGATAACAAACAAAGGAAATATGATTCTGAACTTTGAAAATAATAACTTAACAATTTTGACACTTACAACGTACCTTACAGAAAATGACTGTATTGGAAGTTTATGGAAATGCACGAGCTTTTAAACTGCTAATATAACATTGACTAATAGTAAACAGTTTACATTCGAACTTAAGAACAAAACAAACGATAAAAAATAATGTTATATGAAAATATATGAAAAGTCATCAACAAGACATCATTTAAAGATCTATCAAGCATAAAGATAAGACGGTTTTATCTTTTTCCGTGAAGACCTGGTGTCTTCACTTATTTTCGGTGACCCATTCATATAATTTTCATTACTATTTATGTCCACTGGTATCTGTTTCGGCAAATAATCGAGATTTGTTTCTGGGGTTGACATTTTATATACATTGTTGTATTATAGAAAGATGTCTTTCGACAAATGATCTGTTTTATAAGAAGAGATATACTGGAAACACTGTAAAGGAGAATAACAATACCAGAACTACTCTATGAATGCAAATAAAAGACAATAAGGAATAAACTGGATTAACTAAAGGTAAATACATTAATAAAAAAGATATGTATGTTTGGATATCAAGAAAGAAGGAACGATGTGTTAACCCCTTGTCACAATTTCGAAAATTGTATTTTTCATAGACAATTATTGAATATTGTATCTACTTAATTAGATTACGAGAAATATTTATGGCTATCCAATAGCTGTTTTTTTCTTAAACCGTCATACATTTATAAGATTATAATTTATTCAAATTCTATAAAATAGGCGCAAAACTGAATATGATTCCAGCATAAAGTACTCCATGAGTGAGTGAGTGAGTGAGTGAGTGAGTTGGGTTTAACGCCGCTAGTATTCCAGTATTATCGCGGCGTGTCAGCTTAATGTGGGAGGAAAGACCGAAGTGATGCAGGTCTCAGACGTTTACCACTTCGGTGAAACCAACGAGCACTGGTATGGTGCTGACAAACCTAGAAACATAATCGGGGCGAACCGGTATTCGAACCCACAATCATAGGTTTGTGGCGTGCCCAAGGGATGCAACTCTGCACAGCGAATCGCGGCGCCTTAGACGACTGGGCCACCCGTGATCCCCAGTACTCCATGAAGACAAATTGCTTCCACATACAAGTTACATGAATACTTCTCAGTTCAGAAAACGAATAATATACAATCTCAGGCAATGCGTTTTGTAATATCTCCAAATGGTGATACCTGCATTGTCATCATCGCTGCATCGATATATTTTCATTTCCGCTGATAAAGAGAGTTCAACAGACAAAGGAATTGCAGTTCTCTGAATTATTTACTTATATTGTGATACATAGGTTATCATGGAACAGAAGGACACCGATCTGCAATATGTAAGTAACAGTTTCCTTAACGAACTTTCATTGGTATACCATCTGCAACTCTGCCTTGAGCTATGATTAAATTAATCAAATGTTTCCAATCAGTGACGCAATACGTAAGTATGATATACACCTGTTGATGACGTGACAACAGTGTTTCTGCCATGTATAAATGTTACAGATGGCTCTCTCAGCATCATTGAAGTCTCGAGGAGTCTCACAGTCCGGATCATCACGCCGTTACGACTACCTAACTACCATGAACGTCCTTCTCATTCTGGCCGCTGTTCTGGCTGTCTCCTATGCTCGAGACTGTGGACACACAACGGAAACCCCAACGTCCAACCCCACTGAAGCCCCGACTACACTACAAATACCTACAACATGGCCTGAAGGATCCTTTGCTCTGCCTCAGACCAACGATGGCTGTCCTGGTAGTGAGTGGAAGGATGGAGCTTTCTATCAAGACACTGAAGATTATTACAATGGAAATACCTGGAACACCACCAATATGAGCGGCATTAAGAAGAAAGACGGATATTTAAATACTTACTGCATCATGGAGGGCACCACTGCCAGATCTGGGAGTTGGCCTGCCGGTACCTACTGCATCTTGAGGAAGAACGGCGTCTGCCCAGGAGGTTTCCAGGAAGGTTCCCTTCTTTGGGATGATGAGAACAACTACAACATGAACCATGTCTCAGACCAGAGCACCCTCCCCGATGGTGAGTTCAACAAAGACACCAAGCTGTTTTATTGTTGCCGAGAGGATGCTTCTCCAGCTCAAGAGATAGCCTTGCCAACATCTGCCCCCTTCTACCTCCTGATGAAGACAGGCTTGTGTCAGAGCGTCGCTGGGATGTCGGTGACAGTGGAGACGATGTTTTGGGATGATGAAGACACCAACAACCACAATGCCAGAGAAGGATCCACTCCCTTTCAAACTGGAAGTCCTGCCAACATTCATCTCAACTACTGCTACTACTCTCCTACAACACTGTAAATTGTTTAAGAATGTAATCAAAAGGCTTGAGAGAGGTGTATTCTGCACTGTAATAAATGATATATTTTTCAAGAACTGTGTTGTTACATTTATGCGCTTTCTAGGTACACATACTCCTATTTTATTCAAGGAAATCAAACAGATAAAGTTGCCTTTGCACCTTTCTTCGATCCAAATGCTTTACTTGTCTCCGAATAGTCCATATGTCCATATGGGTGGGGGCTTGTGAGGGGATGTTCTTTTGTTTCATTTTCGAATTAGCTCCAACGTTCAATTTCAGAGATTGGACTAAACATGAATGCCTATTTATGACAAGGGATTTACCAGTACACAATATCTGAGACTGAGGTGGATGAAAATATTTGATGGTTTGTGTCAGATGTCTTCGTCTTGTCAATGGGTATCACTGGCGGCAGCCTCCTGACATCAACAAATATATCAGCTCCGGCTCTGAGTAATTTCTCCGTCTGATTAGTAAATCCCTTATTCCCCAGGCTCAATGTGAAATCAATCGAAATGTCGAACAAACCAAATTGCCATCATTTAAGATTACTACATTTGAATAATTATATTAAAGATATAGACGCATAGGTCAAGAGCAAAAGAAATCACTTTGATAGACATTGTTCCATGTCTTTGAAAAGAATATCCTACCATGATTTGTATAACGTGGTCGATTACAGTAATACAGAATTTGACAACATTTAATACACTGCAAATCGCATTATGAAATACTATTTCTAATAATTATTCAAAGAAAATATTTCTGTATTTGCATTAATCAACAATTGAAAGTCCTTTGGAAGTGTCAGATGCTTGGCACAAGAGACAAATCATCTGTAAAGGAAGACAGAAACATTTTCTCAATATACTGTTTTCATTTAAGAAACGCCTGTAATAAACCATATTATCCATGTCGACGGGATATAAGTTAGGTCTTGTTTTAGTGTCAACGCCTAGGCCAGTATCCCTTTTACTGTTTGAGAAAAGCTGGGAGCAAGAGATGTTCTGTACTTATAAAATTAACGGGTTAACACCGCTTTGAGCGGTATTCAAGTTATATCACGGCGTGTTAGCTTAATGTGGGAGAAAAGCCCGAAGCGATGCAGGTTTCATCACAATTTTCAATTTTATGTCCAATGGTATCTGTTTCGGCAAATAATCGAGATTTTCTTCTGGGGTTGACATTTTATATTCAGAGTAGTATTATCGAAAGATGTCTATGTATAAATGATCTAACCCGTAATCGCCGAGGGGTGTATGCACCTAGCTCACAGAATGACTGTATTGGAAGTTTATGGAAATGCACGACCTTTTAAACTGCTAATATAACATTGACTCATAGTAAACAGTTTACATTCGAACTTAAGAACAAAACAAACGATAAAAAATAATGTTCTATGAAAATATATGGAAAGTCATCAACAAGACATCATTTAAAGATCTATCAAGCACAAAGATAAGACGGTTTTATCTTTTTCGGTGACCCATTCATATAATTTTCATTACTATTTATGTCCACTGGTATCTGTTTCGGCAAATAATCGAGATTTGTTTCTGGGGTTGACATTTTATATACATTGTTGTATTATAGAAAGATGTCTTTCGACAAATGATCTGTTTTATAAGAAGAGATATGTTGGAAACACTGTAAAGGAGAATAACAATACCAGAACTACTCTATGAATGCACAAAAAGATAATAAGGAATAAACTGGATTAACTAAAGGTAAATACATTAATAAAAAAGATATGTATGTTTGGATATCAAGAAAGAAGGAATGATGTGTTAACCCCTTGTCACAATTTCGAAAATTGTATTTTTAATAGACAATTATTGAATATTGTATCTACTTAATTAGATTACGAGAAGTATTTATAGCTATCCAATAGCTGTTTTTCCTTAAACCGTCATACATTCAAATATTTCATAATTTATACTAATCCTATCAAATAGGCGCAAAACTGAATATGATTCCAGCATATAGTACTCCATGAGTCAGTGAGTGAGTTGGGTTTAACGCCGCCTTTAACAGTATTCAAGTTATATGGCGGCGTGTCAGCTTAATGTGGGAGGAAAGCCCAAAGTAATGCAGGTCTCAGACGTTTACCACTTCGGTGAAGCCCACGAGCACGGGTATGGTGCTGACAAACCTAGAAACATAGCCGGGGCGAACCGGGATTCGAACCCACAATCATACATTTCTGGCGTGGCCAAGGGACGCAACTCTGCACAGCGAATCGCGGCGCCTTAGACGACTGGGCCACCCGTGATCCCCAGTACTCCATGAAGACAAATTGCTTCCACATACAAGTTACATGAATACTTCTCAGTTCAGAAAACGAATAATATACAATCTAAGGCAATGCGTATTGTAATATCTCCAAATGGTGATACCTGCATTGTCTTCATCGCTGCATCGATATATTTTCATTTCCGCTGATAAAGAGAGTTCAACAGACAAAGGAATTGCAGTTCTCTGAATTATTTACTTATATTGTGATACATAGGTTATCATGGAACAGAAGGACACCGATCTGCAATATGTAAGTAACAGTTTCCTTAACGAACTTTCAATGGTATACCATCTGCAACTCTGCCTTGAGCTATGATTAAATTAATCAAATGTTTCCAATCAGTGACGCAATACGTAAGTATGATATACACCTGTTGATGACGTGACAACAGTGTTTCTGCGATGTATAAATGTTACAGATGGCTCTCTCAGCATCATTGAAGTCTCGAGGAGTCTCACAGTCCGGATCATCACGCCGTTACGACTACCTAACTACCATGAACGTCCTTCTCATTCTGGCCGCTGTTCTGGCTGTCTCCTATGCTCGAGACTGTGGACACACAACGGAAACCCCAACGTCCAACCCCACTGAAGCCCCGACTACACTACAAATACCTACAACATGGCCTGAAGGATCCTTTGCTCTGCCTCAGACCAACGATGGCTGTCCTGGTAGTGAGTGGAAGGATGGAGCTTTCTATCAAGACACTGAAGATTATCACAACGTAAATACCTGGAACACCACCAATATGAGCGGCATTAAGAAGAAAGACGGATATTTAAATACTTACTGCATCATGGAGGGCACCACTGCCAGATCTGGGAGTTGGCCTGCCGGTACCTACTGCATCTTGAGGAAGAACGGCGTCTGCCCAGGAGGTTTCCAGGAAGGTTCCCTTCTTTGGGATGATGAGAACAACTACAACATGAACCATGTCTCAGGCCAGAGCACCCTCCCCGATGGTGAGTTCAACAAAGACACCAAGCTGTTTTATTGTTGCCGAGAGGATGCTTCTCCAGCTCAAGAGATAGCCTTGCCAACATCTGCCCCCTTCTACCTCCTGATGAAGACAGGCGTGTGTCAGAGCGTCGCTGGGATGTCGGTGACAGTGGAGACGATGTTTTGGGATGATGAAGACACCAACAACCACAATGCCAGAGAAGGATCCACTCCCTTTCAAACTGGAAGTCCTGCCAACATTCATCTCAACTACTGCTACTACTCTCCTACAACACTGTAAATTGTTTAAGAATGTAATCAAAAGGCTTGAGAGAGGTGTATTCTGCACTGTAATAAATGATATATTTTTCAAGAACTGTGTTGTTACATTTATGCGCTTTCTAGGTACACATACTCCTATTTTATTCAAGGAAATCAAACAGATAAAGTTGCCTTTGCACCTTTCTTCGATCCAAATGCTTTACTTGTCTCCGAATAGTCCATATGTCCATATGGGTGGGGGCTTGTGAGGGGATGTTCTTTTGTTTCATTTTCGAATTAGCTCCAACGTTCAATTTCAGAGATTGGACTAAACATGAATGCCTATTTATGACAAGGGATTTACCAGTACACAATATCTGAGACTGAGGTGGATGAAAATATTTGATGGTTTGTGTCAGATGTCTTCGTCTTGTCAATGGGTATCACTGGCGGCAGCCTCCTGACATCAACAAATATATCAGCTCCGGCTCTGAGTAATTTCTCCGTCTGATTAGTAAATCCCTTATTCCCCAGGCTCAATGTGAAATCAATCGAAATGTCGAACAAACCAAATTGCCATCATTTAAGATTACTACATTTGAATAGTTATATTAAAGATATAGACGCATAGGTCAAGAGCAAAAGAAATCACTTTGATAGATATTGTTCCATGTCTTTGAAAAGAATATCCTACCATGATTTGTATAACGTGGTCGATTACAGTAATACAGAATTTGACAACATTTAATACACTGCAAATCGCATTATGAAATACTATTTCTAATAATTATTCAAAGAAAATATTTCTGTATTTGCATTAATCAACAATTGAAAGTCCTTTGGAAGTGTCAGATGCTTGGCACAAGAGACAAATCATCTGTAAAGGAAGACAGAAACATTTTCTCAATATACTGTTTTCATTTAAGAAACGCCTGTAATAAACCATATTATCCATGTCGACGGGATATAAGTTAGGTCTTGTTTTAGTGTCAACGCCTAGGCCAGTATCCCTTTTACTGTTTGAGAAAAGCTGGGAGCAAGAGATGTTCTGTACTTATAAAATTAACGGGTTAACACCGCTTTGAGCGGTATTCAAGTTATATCACGGCGTGTTAGCTTAATGTGGGAGGAAAGCCCGAAGCGATGCAGGTTTCATCACAATTTTCAATTTTATGTCCAATGGTATCTGTTTCGGCAAATAATCGAGATTTTCTTCACGGGTTGACATTTTATATTCAGAGTAGTATTATCGAAAGATGTCTATGTACAAATGATCTGTTTTATAAGAAGAGATATGTTGGAAACACTGTAAAGGAGGATAACAATACCAGAACTACTCTATGAACAAGCAAATCAAGCCAGGACGTTAGTCAGGAACTTCAATTTACATAGAGAACAAAATGTCAGTTTAAATGCTTGTCAAGTTTTCTTTTCTTGAAATAGAAATTAAAATCGGAAATACCTTTCCCTGTAGTTACCTTGAATATTACCAAAACAATTCTACTTCAACTAGATAACTCATATACATCTTCAAAACATTTCAAAACAAGTTGACAACTTGGATATAACACTAACTTTAACGAAAAACATGATCCTGTGCTGGCTAACATTGCATTTAATGTGTATTATGCTATTTTGTTGTAGCTGGGGACATATACAACATGTGTGATTCATACAACACAGTGTTTAGAATCTCACTACTTTTGTCACAAGTGGAATTAAACTTTGTCACAAACGACATCAACTACCCGATGAAGAACATTTTCATACATGACCGTCTCAACTGACTTGCAAACCGAAGTCAAATGGTGTGGAGGTGTTATCCAAGAAAAATATCGGGCAGAAGCCAGTGATTGATGTGTGCAACATCCACGCAGTCGGGGATCGAAGCCTCTTTTTGTGACAAGCATTAAGTTGTTGGATGGGGCCTTGTTCTAACCCGTAATCGCCGAGGGGTGTATGCACGTAGCTCACAGAATGACTGTATTGGAAGTTTATGGAAATGCACGACCTTTTAAACTGCTAATATAACATTGACTCATAGTAAACAGTTTACATTCGAACTTAAGAACAAAACAAACGATAAAAAATAATGTTCTATGAAAATATATGGAAAGTCATCAACAAGACATCATTTAAAGATCTATCAAGCACAAAGATAAGACGGTTTTATCTTTTTCGGTGACCCATTCATATAATTTTCATTACTATTTATGTCCACTGGTATCTGTTTCGGCAAATAATCGAGATTTGTTTCTGGGGTTGACATTTTATATACATTGTTGTATTATAGAAAGATGTCTTTCGACAAATGATCTGTTTTATAAGAAGAGATATGTTGGAAACACTGTAAAGGAGAATAACAATACCAGAACTACTCTATGAATGCACAAAAAGATAATAAGGAATAAACTGGATTAACTAAAGGTAAATACATTAATAAAAAAGATATGTATGTTTGGATATCAAGAAAGAAGGAATGATGTGTTAACCCCTTGTCACAATTTCGAAAATTGTATTTTTAATAGACAATTATTGAATATTGTATCTACTTAATTAGATTACGAGAAGTATTTATGGCTATCCAATAGCTGTTTTTCCTTAAACCGTCATACATTCAAAATATTTCATAATTTATTCAAATCCTATCAAATAGGCGCAAAACTGAATATGATTCCAGCATATAGTACTCCATGAGTCAGTGAGTGAGTTGGGTTTAACGCCGCTTTTAACAGTACTCAAGTTATATGGCGGCGTGTCAGCTTAATGTGGGAGGAAAGCCCAAAGTAATGCAGGTCTCAGACGTTTACCACTTTGGTGAAGCCCACGAGCACGGGTATGGTGCTGACAAACCTAGAAACATAGCCGGGGCGAACCGGGATTCGAACCCACAATCATACATTTCTGGCGTGGCCAAGGGACGCAACTCTGCACAGCGAATCGCGGCGCCTTAGACGACTGGGCCACCCATGCCCCCTAGTACTCCACGAAGCTAAATTGCTTCCACATACAAGTTACATGAATACTTCTCAGTTCAGACAACGAATAATATACAATCTAAGGCAATGCGTATTGAAATATCTCCAAATGGTGATGCCTGCTTTGTCAGCAACGCTGCATCGATATATTTTCATTTCAGGTGACAAAGAGAGTTCAACAGACGAAGGAATTGCAGTTCTCTGAATTATTTACTTATATTTTCATACATAGAAACAGAAGGACACCGATCTGCAATATGTAAGTAACGAATTCATTAACGAACTTTCATTGTTATACCATCTGCAACTCTGCCTTGAGCTATGATTAAATTAATCAAATGTTTCCAATCAGTGACGCAATACGGAAGTATGATATACACCTGTTGATGACGCGACAACAGTGTTTCTGCGATGTATAAATGTTACAGATGGCTCTCTCAGCATCATTGAAGTCTCGAGGAGTCTCACAGTCCGGATTTCATCTCACGCCGTTTCGACTACCTAACTACCATGAACGTCCTTCTCATTCTGACCGCTGTTCTGGCTGTCTCCTATGCTCGAGACTGTGGACACACAACGGAAACCCCAACGTCCAACCCCACTGAAGCCCCGACTACACTACAAATACCTACAACATGGCCTGAAGGATCCTTTGCTCTGCCTCAGACCAACGATGGCTGTCCTGGTAGTGAGTGGAAGGATGGAGCTTTCTATCAAGACACTGAAGATTATCACAACGTAAATACCTGGAACACCACCAATATGAGCGGCATTAAGAAGAAAGACGGATATTTAAATACTTACTGCATCATGGAGGGCACCACTGCCAGATCTGGGAGTTGGCCTGCCGGTACCTACTGCATCTTGAGGAAGAACGGCGTCTGCCCAGGAGGTTTCCAGGAAGGTTCCCTTCTTTGGGATGATGAGAACAACTACAACATGAACCATGTCTCAGACCAGAGCACCCTCCCCGATGGTGAGTTCAACAAAGACACCAAGCTGTTTTATTGTTGCCGAGAGGATGCTTCTCCAGCTCAAGAGATAGCCTTGCCAACATCTGCCCCCTTCTACCTCCTGATGAAGACAGGCGTGTGTCAGAGCGTCGCTGGGATGTCGGTGACAGTGGAGACGATGTTTTGGGATGATGAAGACACCAACAACCACAATGCCAGAGAAGGATCCACTCCCTTTCAAACTGGAAGTCCTGCCAACATTCATCTCAACTACTGCTACTACTCTCCTACAACACTATAAGTTTATTCTTACTTGGCCTATAATAAATGATTTTTATGTCAAGAACTATGTTGGTACATTTGTCCTAGTGTATTCAATTAAATCAAAAGCACAATTTTCTAAGATCCATTTATTTAACTTGTCTCCGTATTTGCCCTATTTCAGACTGGTGACTTCAGAAAGATCAGACTATCTGTTACACGATATATATGGGTAAAATGGTGTCCTGACCGTTGTTACGATGAAAGTAAGACATTAGATACAACACTTTGAGCCTCATGCTTGAACATGGATAAAAATACAAGGCATTATGCCTTGTGACATACCTTAGGGACTACGAATTAATATATATTCGTATATAAAAATCCGTATATATCACTGTGGCAACATTTACTGCCAGGCTTCAGACATCTATATTTTCAAGTGAGAGAATGAATATGGTTTTGGGTCGCTTTTAGAAATATTCCAATAATATTGCGGCGCTGAACACCAGAAATGAGCTTTACACATTGCGCTAATGTTCGGAATCGAACCAGGGTCTTCAGCGTCACGAGCGAACGCTTTAATCACTAGGCTACCCCAGCGTTCATATTTTCAAGATAGGACACGGGAAAACGTGTGTAGGTTATTGTCTTTTTTTAGAACAAGAAGGCAAATGTTCAACATATATATGCATGCTCCTTCGTCGCGCGTCATGGTAATTTGTTGTTTTAAATGGACGAACCAGGATTCGAACCAACAATCATAGGTTTCTGGCGTACCCAAGTGACCCAACTCTGGACAGCGAATCGCGGCGCCTTAGACGACTTAAATCTTTCACCCGTGCCGCCAGTTAATATGAAATTTTGTCCAGTAGTTTATAAAAATGTGTGAGAATAAGTTTTGTTTTTTAAATTTCGCT